CTTTTACTAGTAGTGTTCTCATGAAATTCCTATCATTTGAATATTCTAAGTGACTTAATATTGCAATTTATAGTCATTCTTGAAATGAATAGAAGACTAGAACTCTTAAACTTGATGACTAGATAATCTTGTGGCTACAGAGTTAATTCAATTACTTGAATTTTCCTAAAAATCTCACTATGATATTTATTTAAATCAAACTTATAGTGTTTTTGAATTAAAACTTTACCAGAATAGATCATAACCTTTATATAGTACTAAGATTACTTGAGGACAAGTAGTAGTTAAGTTTGGTGGATTTTGACCAGAGAAAAATATGTTGAGATTTTCATACCTATTTTATACTGTTTTTGATGATATTTCACTTTAAGGAAAGCTATTTTTGATGTTTTGTTGCAGGAATGATAAATTAGGGTCAATGGAGCAAAAAGATGCAAAAAGGAGCAAATTTGGAGCGAAAAGGACTAAAATGTGGAGATTTGAACTAGGGCGCTGACGGCGCCATCGAACCCACCGATGGTAACGCCGCCGGCGAGCTTTCCCCGAGGCTACAGGATAAAATTCTCCAAAAGCCCGCCGACGGTGCCATCGAGGCCGTTGACGGTGAGATCGACGGTTAAGTGTACTTGTGCATTGGATAAGGCAGGATTTTGGAGGGGTGCTTCAGCAACTCTTGGGAAAACACATCCACATCATTAAAGGGAAGATTTTGGCCTAAAATAGGAGAGCCTAGAAGAGGTAGAGAGAGCTCTAGAGTTCCTGGAGGTTAGAAAGGTTCCATTAGAGTGTGAAGATTGTGAGGAATTATTTGAGAGATTGTAAGAGTGGAGTGAAAGTGAGAGATTTCTTCCTCCTTGCTATTTCGAAGAGGAGTTCTGTGTGCTGTAAAGAAAGGAAGAGATTCAGAGGAACTTCGAGGAGTTTTCTTGGGGAGAAATTAGAGATAAGTTTATTTATTAGTTGTAGTTTGTATGACTTTGTGTTTATATATGAATTCCGAGTTTTATTGCATTTTCCCCATGAGAATTGAGTAGTTTTCTCTGTCTTTCTCCTTGTCTCGAGATTTATGAAATGATGATTTGAATTGGTAAAGCCATGAAAATGTTTAAGAAATTGTGATGATCTTTTCACTTCGATCTTAATTTACTTTCAATCTGGTCAATTGATTTGTTAAAATATGTTAAGTTTTACAACTA